CAAACAAATCAAAATGACTGATAAAATTGTGGGATCGACTCTTCAAGAAATATCTAACTTTTCTGATTAGCAGCAGAAGCATATATAGAAGATAGTTTGAATAACAAAACTGAGTTTTCTAACAAAATATAGAATTGTTCATCTTTTTACAAACAAATCAAAATGACTGATAAAATTGTGGGATCGANTCCATTGAATTTTTTTCCCAGATGGCGACCAGTTGCCATCTTGAAAGTTTTATCTGTCAATTTCACTTCAAAAGAAAGTTTTTCATACATTAATTTCATAATCACAAATTTCAATTTTTTGAATTGACCCCTTTGAAAAATAAAAGGGGGGTCATTAAAGAAATGCACTGTATAATTCAGATTATGTTATTCATGAATATGTTACCTCACTATCAAGGTGAGGTTGTTACTTGGTATACATTCAATAAAACACTTTTTTTCACTTTATCGCCTCAGTGAAATACAACCATTTAGCGTGGTTACAGAATTGACACCGTTGCATGCCGACAGTTGTCAAACCAGACCATTCATTTCATGAATTATTTGCTTATTCATGTCAACAATAAGTAAAAGATAAGAATTCGGCCTTTCGTGCCACTACCAAGAACATGTAATTTCTCTGCGATAAAACAGCGACCGACATTCCGAAAAATCCTGCGTGAATATAATACTTAATGAAAAAATGTCAAGATTTCTTATATGTGAAAACCTTAATGGAACGCCCACTCTCTCAAAAGTTGAAGTGGAATACACTGGAGTGGTTTTCTCTGCCGGAGCAGAGCTCAACAAAAGTATCGGATTATTCCATTACAAAAAAAAACATAAAATTTTTTGGTACATAAACATTTTTACGGTAACACACAATCGCCACATATTTGTATGACTTTTGAAATTTCGATTTTAATCTGGAGATTTCAATTCACGGTGGATTTGAATCGCTGGAGATTACATTCATTTGGAAAAACGATCTCAGGAAGTTTATTCCACATAAACGCAGTTCTTCAAATGAGAGAGTTTTTAAACTGTGAAGTTCGAGGTGTACTGAGTTGAACCTTTGAACGATGAGCAGCCACAGTCCGTTGCGTATTTCTGATATGTTTTGGTGGAATCGAGTGTGTCAAGTCACCGGAACACCACACGTGAAAGTACTATAAAAGAGGGACACATCTTCAATATTTCTTCGACATTCCAGACTATCAAGGTTGCAAGTTATGTTCGTGTCTCCAATCAGGCGGATGGTTTTTTTCTGGATGGAATCCAGAAGCTTCAAAGCAGTTATTGCTCTGTACATATCATGTCTGGGACATTATCCTGTATTTTAGATTTTTACATACATTTGTGAATAGGAGAATATATTTACGACAGGATACCAGTCAGAATGTGGCCGCAAATATTTTTAATTAGAAAAAGCCAGGGGTACTCGCTTTGCTCATGACGACAGGATTTATCGCTGTTTCAACCAACCCTCTTTCATTCAAATAATGAGAGAACTCATTTAAAACTGAATGAAATATTTATTATGGTGAAAATGGAAAAAATACGCTAAGGGTAGTTGATAAAATAGTTAAGAAAGATACAAAGAATCACCAAAAAACTTACATTATACTGCTACCCAGCAGGAACGATGAAAATGAGATGTGCTGCATTCTTAAAATGCTCTGGAACCCTTTCTGAAGATACTGAATGAATTTCTCAAAACTTTCAGTTGATCTTGACCTCCCTCAATATTTATTAAGATTCATATGCTGAGGTTGCAACTTTCCTCTAGTCACCTTACTTAGGTAAAATGCTTAATACACATCCTTGCAACTTTGCGTATTTGGAGATTGTTTTATATCTCCAATCCTGTAATCGTATTAATTTTGATGTCTATGAACTTGGAATATTAAAAGATGAAATTGTGAAAACTGAGTGATTTTGTTTGAAAATATTGAATTTTGGGTTGAAACATCTTTCAATTCATGTATTTGCTTGAATGAATTTGAATTATTTCATGGCTATTTTCTATCCTTCCAAGTGATGAAGGGTTTCGTAGAGGGATTGACTCGGCTCTTACTCCATGAAGTATTTTAGTAGCTTGATTATTTCAAATAAAAATATTGGCGGCCACTTTTTGACTGGCAAGCTGTCATAAATGTATTTTCCTATTCAAAAATGTATGTAAAAATTTGAGTTTGATTAACTACGCTATGAACGTAGCGATTTTGCGGCGGGATCCTGTACTGAGACCAAATTTGTTTCTACACATTTTTCCCCTAATGTGGAAAATACAACGGGAGGGTACAATTTCATTACTCGACAGTGAAACGTTAAACATTCGCGAGAAAATTCCGAGTTTGCCGAGATATGACAAGAATTCTTGTCTATTTACCCACTTCGAAATTCAAATGACACCCTGTATAAAAGATTTATGTATATATTCTGAGAGCCCACATCAAGTGCCAATGGCAAAATGTGGACAGATTTTAAATATGTCTGCGAATAAAGAAGATATACGCAAAAAATAATTTGCGATTTTTTTGTTTTTCCTGTATATCTTCAGAACTAAAAGAGATATATTCGATTTCCTCACATCATTGAATAGGTCTCTAAAACACGCAACTTTGCCACAATTTAACTGACACGCTATCTTTTATCGTTTACGAGATCCCCATGTACAGAAAGGAATTTGAATAGTCCTGTATAACAGCAGATGTCTCTAATCACACTAACACCATAACAGTTCTCCTTTGTTCCATATTTTCATCATAGACAAACAAACACACCTTTCTCAAACTTAATCACATGTCAATTGTCAATTGTTTGTTGTCTCTCTCTTTGTTCTTCAACCACATGGATTTTACCGGTAATCCATAATTTCAAAACGAATAAGGATTTTAAAAAAGTTTCAATCCAATAATCTTCTTTATATCAAGTGATGAGTCAACCTTCGTTTAATGTAGTGACTTGTTTTGTTGTATTGACATATTTCAATTGTTTCAATGTAATATTCTTTTCGACACGGCCATCCTCACTAACAGTAAGTTGAGACTTTTCATAATAATTTTTTATACTATACTATCATCATATAAATTGTGTAGCTTTTTCCTGAAGATGATAATAAATTTTATGGAAATATTGGAATAACTTGTGGAATAACTTTTCTGAGATATTTGTCTCGACAAGAATTGAAAACTCCACGACAAATATCGTTTTGTTCTGGTGGTCGAGAAGGACTAAATCAGGCTTATTAGCTTGTATGAGCCTGAGAGTAGGGAACGAATAGTTCCAATAAATTCGACACTTCTCGTTCCCCACAACGGATTCAATATCCACAACATCGGTGTCTCGTCAATACCGTAAGAGTGTCGTAGATGGTGATATAGCACTCTTACGGCCGCGTTATGTCGATAGATATAGGCCGAGACCGCATATGCTGGACATGCTGATAGCAAGTGCATTAGGGTCTCAGGCGCCTCTCGGCTGGCCCTGCACCTTGTGTCAGGAACCTCTATATCCATCACGCGACTGCGGTAGACTAAGGTGTTGAAGACAACATCCTGGCAAGCCATGATGAACCCCTGAGTTTCCGACTTCAGCCCACTCGACCCGAGAAAAGCGAACGTCAGGCGCTTTGATGAACCAAGGTCCCTAATATTACTGAAGAAGACATCATGTATTGGCTCATTCTTGTGTTTCCGCAGAAGTGAGGTGATCTCTGCGGGTTTTATCTGAGCTTTTTGCTGAACGGGTTCCAACTAGATGACAGAGTAGTGGTCACTTCGTTCAGAGTCGAAAACTTTACCGAGTTCATCAGCTGCTCGAGCAGCTGCCCTAAGGAGAAATGCTCTAATTTCTGCTCTCTCATGGTCACGGACCATGCAGAGAAGGGGATCCGAACTCCTGACGACTTTACAGGCTGTATCCAGTACCATTCTGTCATGTAGACACTCCAAACTCGAAAGTCCACGGCCTCCCTATTGTCGAGGGAAGTACAACCGTGGAAAGGGCGATTTTGGATGAAAACGCCTATAGAGATGCATCATTTTTCAGATCTTTACGTCGAGTTGATACAGCTCCTCCCGAGTCCACTTCACTACTCCAAACGAGTAGAGTGAGATTGGAACGGCAAGCATATTTGTTGCAGCAACTTTGTTCTTCCCCAACAGTTCTGATGACCAAATCTGTCAAAGTTTGTGCTTATACTTGCCGCGGAGAGAGTTTTTCACTGCTGTTACCTCTTGTGAGTGGCGTTGTTCCACCCCGAGGTAAGTATACATTTTTTTGGCATCCAGATGGTGTAGAATGCTTCCATCTACGAGCTGCATATCCTCTCCGTAGTCCCCGCATCGTCCGTTTTTGAGATGGACCATTGCACATTTGTCTATCCCGAATTTCATCCCGATAGCATGCGTGTACTCTTCCACCACCCTCAAGGACTGATGGAGATACTTCTCTCCAGAGGCATAAAGTTTAAGATCATCCATATAATACAAAAGGGTGACCTTGTACCTCCGGTTTCCGGGGTGCCACAGTTATACCCTCAAGTATTTCTGAGCGCAACGGATAATTGCAATAGAGAGATGCAAAAGAGAAGGTGACTGAGGGAATCACCCTGAAATACATCCCTTCTTAAAGAGACCCACCCAGTTTGGGCTCTTGCTTGACCAGGTGCTATGGTAAAGCGAGTTCGTCAAAGTGGTATCAGTTGTTCAATGCATCTCATTATTTTGTCGGGTACCGTAAGGCATCTGAGCATATGCAAGATGAGCTCAAGCGAAATTGTATCAAATGCCTTACGGTAATCGATCCAGGCCATAGAGAGGTTACGCTTATATTGTATCAAGTCCTGCGTTACTGCGTTATTATTATTATTATAATCCAATATGTATAAACCACTTCACATCTAAATAGTTCAATCACGTACGCTATGGCTTGGCTGGCCAACGCCACTTCAACAATGAGGCCAGTCCAACACTGTTTTGATTTGTGATGCAAAAAATAAAAGCATACCTTTTCGTTGTTGATTAACCAAGTTATGTGGGGCGGTGGTTTCGCCGGAGTTGTTGTACAATTGGCTTCCAGAACCTCTCCTATTTCGTATGTACTCTTATTGAAAGTTATTTCAGGAGGTCCTTCTTGTGGTTCTTGAAAACAAGAGAAATTGAGTTAGTGTTTCGAAAATCTAGATGTTCAATAAGAAAATTGTTGGTAGAATGAACCAAATTGAAATCATTCAAATACATCTAATTCATTTGAAGTAATACTGTGACATTTTTTTTGTTTTTGTTGTTTTTTGGATCCTTTCCAAGATTATTTGAACGAATTTTAAAAATACTGTCAAGTTCAGAAAATTACATTGTTGGTGAGTAAAATGGGCGATATTTTCAAGAAATTTGCTACGGTGTCTCTCAAACACTGTTGACATTGTTTCAAGCTTACATATTACAGATTTAATGTATTCATAACTTCAGTTTAGGTGCAATTTATCTATAAAAATAGTTTTTTTCTCGCGACTTCGTTCGCTTGAATATATTCACCTGCGGAAATGCCGATCCCTTGAGGAAATCGGGATGAAAAGTAACGTACCTATGTTGTTTCTTAATAATCTAGCTTTCTGATAGTGAGAAAAACTCAAAATCGATTCAGTGGAACTATGTTTCATTGATATTTACACACAAACAAAATATATAGAAAGCATTCCTCTCAAAGCAGAATGACCGCAGAGTGATATGCGATCATGAACAATCCCCTTAAGGACCTGGGCGAAACCTCATTGTAATCAGCCTGCCTATCTCTGGTGATGCGGGTCTCTACCAGAGGTGATCAACTCTTCCCTTGCTACTCGTGGAAACACACAAGAATGAAACAAACACAAAAACAGAAACAGCAAAAACAAAAACCAACCCCAAGGCTGGACAGAAGTGCTCACACCAATCTGAGGCGGTGGCTGGGGATGAACAGAAATGTCCACCCCAATCTACCGCTTGGAATGAGGATGGACATAGCAGATCACCTCGTGATATAATACAAACGCCAAGGCGTAAGCGCATTTGCGGCGCCGAGGCCAAAAGGAGAAAGAGAGAGAAAGAGGCAGGAGTGGCAGCAACTATAAGTTCATCCTCCTCCTCCCCCCCACTCCACCTTCAACAGCAAGGGCACTTCCTGCGGTGGGAGTCAAGAGCTCCAGCTTGAATAAAGGCAAGGAACCAGCTGCCCCTGCAGCAAAGCTTCCCCACTTGTGCACCTCCACGGAGGGAATCCCAAGAAGGTTGAAGAAGCCGCGCAACGACAGTTATGACGCTGCACCTTCCAAAACCTTCGCGGAAGCCGCCATGAGACACCTCAAGGTTGCCAAAGAGAGTGTGTATTCGGCGAATTTTGGCCTACACCTGCCAATATAAAGGAGATTTCTCCTAGTGACCTGTCCACCTTCCTGGAAAGGACAGGATGGACGATGACCTAGGAGGACAACTCCTCGGGAGGATGTACAATGGGTCACTCACCCTCCCTACTCTACAGATGAAGATACTCTCAAAGCACCACGAGGGAATCACTCATCCTGATAAAATAGAGAAACCGAAAAATGCGATTTGGTTTTTCCAGTTTTTCGTACGATAATTGCAGTAATTGTAACAAAAACATCGTTCATTCCTTTCGACGGGAAAAAAGAACAATAGTAATCTTGATAAAATTCCTACGTCTTTCATCGAACGCTCATTTCCCAGGGGAGCTTCCTTCTGTATAAATATAACTCTCATCAATAATGAACACTAATTCAACTTCGCGATCCGAGAGATTTGTCTGGATCGGATTATAATACCCTCATTGAATTTCGTCCAGGACATTTTAGGGGAGAGTATTATGAAATTTCCAATAAAATCTCGTCACATCAAGCCACATGTTCAAAACCTCTCGGAATTCCTTTGTGTACCGCAATCTCGTTGTGCGACGTTGCATCTGTCATTTTGGAACGTCAATATGACTTTGTTTATTTCAACGCGGATGGATGGATTTTATAGGATCACCTTTTCTGCCTGGAAGACATTCCTTTATGTGCTGAAGAACATTTCAAGATAGATTCTGAACTCACGGCATGATGTAAATAATTTTTATGTGAAAAAGGGAAATGGAGTTTACCCTCTGGGAAATATTTTCATAAGAGATAATTCATTTGGCTTACTTTTTATCAATATACAAAGACTTGAAAGTAGGAGTGGCGTCACTTCAGTACACCCACACTCCTTCGTTTTTGCCATCATCCAGTCGACCAATCAGAAGCTACCGCACGCACAGCGGGAAATTCAAATCAGTAGTACATCCTCCATACGAGGGGCCACGATAGTTATTACATGGTATGAGTTGGTTATAGGAGAGATTTCAGTGAGTGAAAGAGAGAAACCTGTGACGTAATCGATGCGGAGAAGGATGGAGTGAGTATCAGAGAGATTCAAAGATAAGAGCATGGACTTGGGCCCCCGTGAGACCCCACCTCACCCCCCTTGAGCCCCTTTGTCGCGCACCAGTCACGTGATCCTAGTGGTATCGACAGCCAAGGGAAATACAAATTAGTAGTACAACCTTCGTGCGTGGGGCCACGATAGTTATCACATGGTATGATATGGTTATAGGAGAGACTTTAGTGAGTGGGAGAGAGAAACGTGTCACGTGATCGACGTAGAGAAGGATAGAATGAGTATCAGAGAGATTTAAAAATGAGAGCATGGAGTTTTTCCCAACACCAAACCGTTTGTTTGATCTTTTATTTAAAGATGATCACTTGGTCATCGAAACACGTGTCGGGGTGGTGAAATAACGGTTTGTTGTTGGGAAAAAACTCCAGTAATGAACATAATATGCTGAAAAGTGAATAAAAAAGAACAGCATCAATGTATAGAGTACAAAATTCTCTATAGATCACTATACACCACGAAATAGAAGTATGAATTTTTATTGAGATCTGGAGGTACAGAAATACATGACATGAATATAGACGAAACTTTTCAAACATTCTTATACTTTCAATAACTATCATTTCACATATCACTGGCATAAATCAGTCAGTTACTGTAAATATTATATTTAGATCTTTTCATCTGCCATGATAAAACAAGTATCATCTCGAATATATCAAAGAATCACACACATCGCCACGATACATACCTATGACAGTGAGATCCTTGCTGTCGGAATCCTTCATATATATTGGCGTATCCATAGAAACGACACAGGAATAGGAACCAGACGCCGAGAAATCCAATTCCGAGAGTTGGATTTGTTTTTCATTGCTGTGCGTTTTCTGGAACAAAACGAATGGCGTTGAAAAGGAGAATTACCGAATGATGATATGTTTTATGTTTTGGCGAAGATGTTTTCATTTTCGGAGAATAATTTCCCGTCGTTTCAATATGCTCGGAAAAACAAAGGTCTCTTCCCGAGAGAATGTCCGTGAGATTGATGCCCCATTTTCAGCATATGCCGTAAAATTCTGAGAGAGCAGAATGAGAGAAATTTGAAGAGGTTATACAAACAGAAAATGACTCCAACGCAAATATCCGGTAATAAGACGTACAAAATGTTGAAGAATGCATTATATCGAATTTTTGAGATGCAAACTGAATGAAATTTTCAAACTTTCAATCAATCTCTTGATTTGTGGCCGATGATAATAAAGCTAAAATTTGTTGGTTGAAACAAAATTTTGATATCGTTCACCAGGTACCAGGTACCAATATTTTTGAGCATATCCAACAGTTTTTGATAGTTACCGGCAGAGAGAGACTTCTCATCATCATTCTTCATGTTTATCAACTAAAGTTGGTGGTTTCTATTTCATCAGACCTTATTGAAACCTATCAATAATCTTTAGGAAATTGTTAGAAAAATTAAGAATAGACCCCCAATACTTTTCTCAATTGGAATCGGTATTTTGAACTGTCAAATGAAATGTAAATACAGAATGAAAGGTAATATACGATACACGTTCGTTAGGAGTTATAACCTGTCTTTTGAGTTTACAGGAATATATCCTTAGAGGGGAACCTTCTACTCTATCTTCGGAAACAATTTAATGTAATATCTCTGAATACACGGCGACTTTTTGTCACAATCTCCTTTTTTCACAAACTGCTTGGTGAGATCTCATGTGCCCCCATTTTCACTGTGATCTTGGCAGAACAAATAACGGCTTCAAAGAACCAGTGTCAATATAATTTGTAACAACTACAATTCAATTTGCGATATGTGCGATATTAATGATAGTTCTCTAAGTTTTCAACGAAAGTCATTTTTTGTGTAGGAAAATCAGTTTTTCATCGAACTTTTCAGGGGTATTTGTTACCTTCCACAATCTGAAAAAATATAAAAATTATAATGGAGAACTTTATACAAGTGTAGAAAGGGTAAACTTTTTAGTTTACCCTGATAATCAATATGGCTACCAGAGCAGATACTCAGTCAGATTGCTCCCAGTTATGTGTGTTTAAATGCTGCAAAAATAAAACATCTGTTCCCTACGTATGTACAAAGTGTTTTAACGTATTCCATAGGAGTTGTGTAGTGCGTAATAAAAGCAAATATAAGTTCGACCAGCGTAACAGAGTGATCTGCTGTAAAAATGAATCCGGCACTGATAATAACTCTAATTCGGAAGATATAAATCTCCTTGAGAAAACAATCAGCGACCCGCATGAAGAAGATATAAACAGAGATAATCACATAAAAAAATTAAAATGTGATCATGAACTATTTGTTATCGAAGCAACAAAAGCGAAAGAAAAACTTACTCATTTACTAGAGCAACAAAGAAACTTAACAAAAGAATTGCAAGATAAAATAAAAATATTGCAAAAAGAAATAAGCAAATACCACAGAGATAAGCTGGAGGTCCACACACAAACCGACATCATAAAAAGACATGACAAATTCACATCAATGAATGACCTTTCCATTGGCGTGGAAAGAAGTAATTTTATGGATGGCTTTACCCAGACATTAAATACTCAGTCTGATAGTGTAGTACATATCAAAGTCATAAAAAATAAAAAAGCAGTAGGTTTTGATGACATCTCAATTAAAATTTTTGAAAGTCTCCCAATTGAAGCCCTTGAAACTCTTGTGTTACTGATAAACTTCTCATTCCATAGTGAAGTGTTCCCATCTTTCTTGAAATTATCGCTAGGCATTCCTCTATACAAAGGTGGCGATCTTGAAGACCCTTCAAACTATCGGCCAATTTCCCTTATGCCTACGTTGGCAAAAATTATCGAACAACTCGTCAAAAAAGGCTCAATGAGTTTCTTGTAACTCACAAAGTAATCAATGAAAATCAATTCGGCTTCCAAACCAATAAAAACACCCATGACGTAATTTTCAGTTTTCTGTATGAGGTATATGCAATAATTAACATTGGAGATGTAGCCGCGGCAGTCTTCTGCGATTTTGCGAAAGCGTTCGACTGTGTTAACCACAATTTACTTCTGTTTCTTTTTGAGTAATTATCCTGTTTTGCATATATTTTTTATCAATACGTTTATACATTTCCTGTTATTGGGTGAATGAATGCCTGTAGGAAATAATGTGCTATCCAATGTAATCACTGATTATGAAAAAACTGGTACTGTGATGAGTAGAAATCTGTGATTTCTTTCACTTTTTTTCTGCTTGTGATATCTTCTATTTATATTCTGTTCTATTTCTTTCAGCTGTAGCTATGTTGTTTTAAGTAACTATCCTGAAACTAACTGGTACTGTAATAAGTAAAATACTAAACTATATTTCGTCCCAGTATTCGGAACCGATCCAGTGAGTAAATTTTACAAAGCCATCCCAACATCCAGTCGAGATTTATCTGAATTCGAAGCGGATAAAATTGACGGTGACGGTTTCGAATCCAATGCCACACCGAATCCTCTCCCATATCCTTTTGCATGGTTTCCCACAGCTATCACGTGACTACGAGCTTAGCCATCTTGTGGCTCCGGAGTCGTAGTAACGACTCTCATAGCCGACAGCAAGGAAACTACCGGGAATTCGAAACGGAACAAGCTCTGGTGAATTCCAAATGAGACGCCTGCCTCTGAGCCCGAGCGAAAAATGCTTGTTTATTGCTTCCTGACCTACATCTGTTGGGAAAAGACATATGTTTGGCAAGAAAAGTTACTTCTCAGTCAAGGATGAATGCTACATTGGCAATATTTGTGGACATATACAGGGTGGGGCAACTCATACAACATGGTCCCGTCCCTGTAAACCAGGGGTGCCCAAACTTGAACTGTTGGCGATCGACCTCGATATTGTTAGACTACGATCGATTGACTCTGAGAGGCTGCAGTATGTGTGATGCAGGATTTTCGTCGAAGTGAAGTGTATCGTGGCATAGATATTAGTTTTCCGCACAATATACATTTGTTTAGTCAAGGTAAGTGTAGGTCTGCTCTGAAATGTCAATGAAAAAACTCATAATTATTCAAAATTACGAGTTTATTGGTTCTTCTTATTGCAGTGTCTAAACTCCACCAAAGAGTGATTCTGGATGTTGAAGCGTGGCACTGCATGTCCTCAGCATAGTTTTCGTAAGAATGTATGTAATTACCAAGTGCTAATCGCAAGCATGATGACATGCATCAGTTAGTCGATTGCGATACTTTGACTTTGACTTTGATTATCTTCATTTCAGAAAATGCAGACTCGCACAAGTAAGTTGACCCAAAAATTGCCGTCAGTTGAAGTGCGATTTGTCTTACATTCGGATATTCATCTTCAGATATAAAACACCAGAATTTTGTACCAGATGCTGTGGCTTTGAATAACTGATATAATCCGCACTAAATCATTTTCAACAGAACATGGGTCCATGTCAAAATATTGTCAATGCAAGCTGCAGAATGGCTACTTATCCTTGTGGGCTCATTGATGTAATGTTTTATGTTATACTCTTGTAGTAGATTCATCAACAGCATTTTGTTCACACTGTATTCGAGAAAGTTAATATTTATGTCACCACAGACAATAAAAGTATCCTCTTTGTTATATATTTCATAGAGTAATTGTTCTATCTTGGTAATGAAGGTACCAAATTTACTATCTGGAGTTCTATATGTGCTAATAATATATATGAAATTATTTCTGTTCAGAGATTTGATACGTGTTGAACACATTTCAAAGCTCTCCTTTGCACTAACTTTATAAGTTATTGGTTCAAGGTTTACTTCTTCATTAGCAAATATACATACTCCTCCTCTTCAATGTTGTGTCCTAGCAAAATATGAGATGAGTTTGTAGTTTTTAATCACAGTTGTCTTCAGTTCATCTTCTGTGTGCCAGTGTTCATCGTTACAAGCGATTTTCACATTGTGTGTTGTCAGTAGTACGTTAAGGTCATCACATTTTCCTGAAAGTCCCTGTATGTTGAAATGAACCATATTGAATGCATCACCACAATTCAGTGATGATTGGGGGTATGCTGGTCTTGTTGTTGCATTTCTAAAAAAGACCTTGGTTGGTTTGTCTGTGCCTCCTCTTCTTTTGGTTGCCCATCTAGAAACTGTTGCCCTAGCTTGAAATTGAATCTACTATATATTATATTTCTGGGCCAGAAGTCATTGTGCGTAGAAGTTTTTTTGATGAGGATCTACTCCAATCATAAAAGACTGGTTATCCTTCCGTATGTTTTTTGTTTCTGGTTTTTTAACGTGCACATTTTCTGTCTTCGTTTTATCTTTAATATATTTCTCTATGTTTCCTCCTTAATGGTGTCTGGTACCCGTGATACAGAAAGCCATATCTTTTCGCTTTTATTTTCGTGTTTCCCATGAAAATGTTCATTTCCATTACCACTTTCGATTTTATGTCCTCTTTTCCTTCTTGTTACTACTTGGTAATGATGCTGTGTTTCTTCGTCATTTTCTGTCAACATTATGACTTCGTTAATTTTCTGTTTTGTTTGAATTTGTAGTATTTTTGGTGCACTCTGATTCACTTTGGGAAATGAATCACCCTGTAATTAGGCATTCTCCGATTTCTGGCTGTTTACTACCTTTGACTCATTTATAAGGTTTCGCTTGGTTTTTCCAGCCTCACCTTTTTTCTGATAGGCGTTTTTTTGGTGCTATTTGCCTGCCGTTTTTTTATTCAGATGGAGTTTTGTGAGGATAATTGTAGCTATATCGTGACAAAATATTTTCTAGGAACGCGATTTTGTCATTCACTAATGAGATAACTATCTCTTCGTCCTTTATAATTGTTTCCTTGTTCTGGATTACGTCTCTTAGAAGTTTATTTTCTTCTTTTAGGAATATT